CCAATGCGCTCGATCCTCGTCACATCGCGGATCTCTGGGACTTTGGTTGTGGCAGCCACGGTTGCCATGATGCTCACTAAACGGTGGATGTCCCTGTTTGATATTTTTGACTTTTTTTTTTGTACCAGGAATTGAACTCAGGACCTTGAGCTTGCTAGGCAGGCACTTATGCCACTGAGCTATATCCTAGGCCCTGGGTCTGATACTTTTAACGCAATAATATTTTCCATGGTTTCCTATCAGAAAGAGCTACTGTTCAAACGAGCCTGTAACATAAATTAAGGCATCACCTGAGGCAGAGCTTCATTGTTGTGTACTGGTCAAGGAAAAAGTTTGGCAAGCGAAACCTCTTGGTAAACTAGTCAGGTGAACATGAGAGCAACCAACTCATCCCAGTTTTCAGGGTTTTCTCAGCCCCAGCTAGGCACACCAGGATACTGGTCACCTACACTCATAGTGACTGTTTCAGGGTATCGCTCCTCCTCCCAGATTCTAGCTGCAAGAAGACACAATCGCAGGAATTCTCAAATTAAGTTGCATATTAAATCACCTGGGGAGCTTTAAGAGCACTACTGCCTAATTTCAAGAAATGCTATGGGTGGGGCTGGTGAGATGGCTCAGTGGTCTAAAGCACCTACTTGGAACAAGCTTAGCAAAACACAGGGACCGCGGTTCAATCCCCCAGCACCACATGCCAGCCAGCCAGCCCTGCGCCTTGGTGGGCTGAGCTGGCCGTGCACACACACACACACACACACACACACACACACACATAAATAAATAAAATTTAAAAAAAAAGAAAGAAATGCTATGGGTGGTGTAGATTATAGCCTTGATGTTGTTTTTTTTCCGTGTGTGTGTGTGCGTGTGTGTGCGCGCGTGCGCATGCACTTGTATGTGTGTTTTACTGATGTTGAACCCAGGGGCATTCTGTCACTGAGCTACATTTTTAGCCCTCAAATTTGTAGTGCTCCTTGCCTTAGCCTCTTGAGTAGCTGGGATTACAGGTGTGTGCCACCACACCTGATTGACATTGGGGTTTTACAAATTGATTCTAACGTGCAAGTAAGGCTGAGAATCAACATAATAGAGGACATTTACCCTTTCTGGGTGCTGAGAAGACAAAACAAGAAAAGTGGAATCTAGCAGCTTAATTGTGAGGCCTAGGGTGAGAGTTTAGAGTGTCAGGTGGCTATAGGAAGAGAGAGAGAGAGGGTGACCTAAGCTGTGGCTACTAAATGGATTGCCTGGTGGCAGTAAACTAGGACTCATTGGAGCCCGCTCATTTCCCAATATTACTCTGTAAAACCATGGTTTGGGCAACTATGGCTTTTTCTTTGGAAGTTGAGGTCCTCGAGAAAATCAAAACTCACAACTGCAGCCCTAGCCCATAGGCTTCTATTGGCAGTTCTCTTTTCCTAGACCTGGGAAAATATGAAAAGGCTTTCAGAAGATGATATAACTTAACATTATGAACACACCTTATTTATTTTTTTTTTATGAACACACTTTAAAAGGTCCAATTCTAGGCTGTGCTGGCCCAATAGCCTCTAGTCACAAGTTGTACACAGTCCTGGGCCCACTTGGGTAAGGAGCATTCTCTGTGATTTGGGTTGAAGCAGTGTCTTTGGGCACAGGAAGAGACAAGAGGGGGAGGAATGCTACTGTTGCCATCAAATGTGAGCACTTGAATCCCATAAAGTCTCCTCATGGCCCTCAGGATGATACTCTACAAAGTCCTTCCTATTCTGGCCCTGCCCACTGGCTCCAGTCCTCTTGTGGCCACTTTCTTTCCCAGCCATTTTGAATTTCACTGTGTCCTTGAAGGTAGTAGTTTTGAGTGTAGGTAGAAGTAGTTAGTGGGTCGCAAAACTTGCAGTGAGTTGAACCCAGCATTAAGAGCAAAAGAAAAATTTAAGCAACACTACAATGAACTAGAGAATCTCTCTATATATTACACATAAATGCAAGTGAAACTTTTGCTTCAAGTAGGTGCTTGTGCAGTGTGCAGTGTTTTCTTGCTGTAGAATCAGGTGGAAATCTTTGAGAAACAGATTTAAATCTCTTCCCCTAGGTCTTGGTTGATGCAGTTTCCTTTGAGGACAGCAGGCTATCTGAATTAGTGCTTCTTTTAGACAGAATTGGTCTCACTTAGTAATTCTCATTGCACACTGTGCTTCCCTTGTGTATATTAGAAAAAGCACTCAGATATTGAGTGACTAAGTGATAAACCTGAGCTCATTATCTTTTTTTGTTTTATCTTAAAAATTTCAATACACAGAACAGTTGAAAAAAATAGTATAACCAACAACCTCTATACCCAATATTCAGAATAATAATCCTTAACATCTTTCCATTTTTGCTTTTTATGTTTTCTCAGTCAGTTCAAAGATAGACATCAACTTTACCTCTAAATACTTTGACAGGCTTCTCCTAAAAGAAAGGTTATTCTCTTGCATAATCATGATATTCTTATTATTTTTTTATCACGATATTATTAACATACCTAAGAATAAGACTATAATTCCATAATAATAGCTAAAATGCAGACCATATTCTAATTTTTCCAGTCGCCTCCAGATATGTTTTGTAGTTATTATATTTAAAATCAGAATAAAATAAGGTCCATAGATTACACTGGTTTTATATCTTTTTGTAATTTTTTTTTTTATATTTTTGGAACTGGGATTGAACCTGGGGCCTTTCCACTAAGCTCTATCTCCAATCCTTTTTTTATTTTTTATTTTCAGATGGGATCTCAGTAAGTTACTGAATTGCCCAGGCTTGGCTCAAACTTTTAATCCTCTGGTTTTAGCTTCCCAGAGCACTGGGATTGCAGGTATGTGAGCCAGGCACCATCATGCCTGGCTGTTCTACCCTTTAAAAAATGTATAATGGTTCTACAAAATTAATTTCTGTTTCCCTATGGTGGCATTGAACTTTCTTCTCACTCTAGTTGTTCTTCTAGGTGAGAATGAGTTTCAAAGACTTGATTAATCATTCCTGGCAAGAATACCACAAAGGTAAAACCTTTGTACTTTGATCTATCAGGAGGCACATGGTTTCAGATTATTACAATCTGAATATTAATTTGGTACTTGTTTAAGGTAGTGACTGTCAGAGCTGCCTTTATGTAAAATATTCCCTTTGTTAGTAAATAATTTGTAAGCATAATTGACCTAGTATACTGTGAAGAGCCCGTCATTCCTCTACAGCCTAGTGTTTTTTGCAACTGTGAATGATTCTTTGGGCAAGTTCTTAACCTGAGACTAATTTCTTCATCTGTATATAGAGATAATAATGCTTATCTTCCAAAATTGATGTGTCATAACATTTGAAAGTGTTGTGCAAGACAGTGCATGTGAAAATGCTGTCATGATCTATCACAACTCCCATCTTTGAAGAATACCATCCTTTTTCCCTTAAGAAAGTTCTTACCTTGCTAGAGAAGTTGCTGGCTTTTTGGATTTCTCCGAGTGCTGGTCACTGTGGGATGTGACTGGCTCAGACAGAGTTGGTGGTCATGTCTAACTCCTTTTGGCCAGAATGGAATGGTACCTTTGATCCCAGGCGAGCTAATCAGGTTACTCTGCTGGGAATCTCTGAACTAAGTAAGGGTGAGGAAAACATTTCTCCCAGAGCAGTGGTGGTGAATCTATCTGCTGAGTGGAGGTTTGCATCACTGAAAACTCTAACAGGCTCACCATCACTGCCCTCGGGTAACCTGAGGATGTGTCTGGATGCTGTTGGCGGTGCTTTTCCAACCATCTAGTGAGATCCATGCTCTCTGTGGGATTAGGGAAGGTCCTTCCTGGCCTGGCTGTCTTGTCTGTCCAGCATTCTCTCTGCTCAACCCAGCCCCCACCATGGACTGGGAGCCTTTTGGCAGAGTCCTGTCATGTGCTTCTGGCCCGATGGATCAGTCAATAAGTTGGTCATCCATGGGCTTTCATTCATTGCTGTGCTGTTGGAATATGAACTGGTTCATGGAGAAGTGGAAAGAGGTGCCTGCCATGGCCTCAGCTTTTGAAAAGTTGAGTAACAAATACATTTCCTTGGTGAGTACAGAATCAGGAGGGGGGACTGGTGATTTATCTAGCCCAGGGTAGCTTCTCTTGCTGCTAGAATCACCCCAGACTGAAAGTGTCTTCCTCCAACCAGTGCCTATTTCTTCGGAGTTTTCCCCACGTTCAAAGCGGCCTGGGTGGGGTGGGGGTTGTCACTAGCGCCAGTGGTAGGGGCAGACAGGCTGGATTGTGGGAGGGCAAACGGGCGTTGAATGTGAGAGGGGGCTGGTCTGTCTGCAGGGGATCTGAGGGATAGGAACACGGTTCCTGTGCAGCAACCGGAGGGTCTTCTCTTTCTTTCCCTCTAGGGTTAGCTGTCATTTAGTGCCGTGTCTGCAGAGAGTCTTTTCGAGGCAGATCGCTGGACCCCTTTCAGCAATCTAACAGGCTTACCGCGTGTTATTTTCAGTTTACAGATGAGAAAACTAGTACCCAGGAAGAAGTGATTTACCCAAAATAACCCTTCTGGTTGGTGGCAGAGCTGGAATTTAAATTCGGAACCCTCCGACTCTGGATGACTCCAACTCCTACCGGTCTGTGAGCGAGGCCAACATGGCGGCCCAACGTGCGGACTCGAGCTGCGATGTGGGGCAGGTGAGGTGCAGGGTGGAGCGGAGCTGGCACTCCTAGCACCCCACCAGAGGGCCGGGCTTGGCCCAGGGGCAGGCCCTAGAGTGTGCTGGGCAGGATCTGAGGGAGGCCTAACGGAAGCCCAGAGAAGGAACCACGGTGGGTCGAGGCTAAGGGCAAACTCCCTTCCCCCAGGGAAGCCTTTCCCTGGGATGGGATGGGACGGGAGACTCCCACAGTGCTCTGGTGAGAGAAGAAGGGTCTCTGAGGGTGGGAGAGCGGAGGGCATGAAGTCCCCTCCTCAGTGCTCAGCCACAGGCCCTAATCAGGCACCCCCGACTGCCCCAGGGGACAGGGGACAGGCAGACCTGGAAAATGTCCCTGTGGCTTTGGGGTCGTTGGGAGGCAAAGCCTTGACAGTCCGAGGACAGGGCCGACTGTTGATAGCAGGAAGGAAGCTTTGCCTATGACTTGGTCAGTTTTCAGTCCAAGTTCTCACAAATTAGGGCTGGAAGCAGTCAGGAGTAACCTCCCCCACCGCCAGGACACTTCCTTCTGTGGTCCCTTCCCCAGCCCAACCCCATGGGATTTAGGTCTGGCCTCTTCTTACTATCCCAGGGAGGTGCCAGGCTTCAGTTCAGACCTTGCAGGGCCTGAATTGGGTCACTTTCAGCCGGGTCAGTCACCCCCAGATCCTGATAAGGCACCACTGAGTGCACAAGCTTCTACTGAGGAGTCATAGGCCTTTTTTTTTTTTTTTTTTTTTGGCGGAACCAGGGATTGAACTCAGGCCCTTGTGCTTGCCAGGGAAGCACTTATTGCACTGAGCCATCTCCCCGGCCCCTGAGCCATCTCCCCACCCCCCCTTTTTTTTCATAGGCCATTTTGAAAATAATATTTTAAAAAATTCAGGGTAGTAATGAATGACAGGTGTTTCGAATGCTAGAGTGGAAACAAAAGCTTAATAATTCCATCTCCCTACTTCTTTCTCCTTTTGTCTCATGCACAAGCCTCTTAGTTAAAAAAAAAAAAAAAAAAAAGAATTCCTGGGGCCTGGAGATGTAGCTATGTAGCAGCGGTAGAGTGTTTGCCTAGTTTGCTTGAGTCCTGGATTCTATTTCTGGTGAGGTAAATAACCCAAACAACAAGAACACAAGCAATCACTGGCTCCCCTAAATTTGGGAATCACTGAACTGCTGGAATCTGGTGAGATGATGCAGGATCCTGGACCTCAAGTGCACTGACTGTGTGGGATCCTCCATCAGTCAATCCTTCTCTTTGGCTCTCTGTTTAAGACTGAAGTGGCTGTTCTCCTCCATTTGGGTCTGTATCAGTGCCTGTCTTAAAATGCATGTGCTATGGGCTCTTCACGGGGGTCCTGGTGCCAGGGGAAAAGAACAAAGTCCTCATCACCAGAGAGTGGTCAGCCTGAAATGGGGGCACCCTAGGCTGGCGAAATGTTAGTTCTGTCCTGTGTGATGCACAGATGTGTGCCTCCCCTCAGTATTTACCAAGAGTCTCTGAGTACCATCTGGTTGCATCCTTCAGTCCCCACTAGTTGGCCTGTGATGTTCTGGTACAACAAGTAAGTGTATAGTTCATTTTTTTTTTCAGGGAGTGGGCAAGGACTGTTGTCTGTGAGGACTGTGTGGAGTGGTCAGAACAGGCTCTTCAGAGAAGGAAGTTCTTCATCTGAAGAGTTTGCAATAGTGGTGACAAACCTGTGGCACACATGCTGCAGTGGGCTGTTTGTTATCATTTTTCTTTTTCTTTTTTTTTTTTTTTTGCGGAGCCAGGGATTTCACTCAGGCCCTTGAGCTTGCCAAGCAAGCACTTATTCAACTTAGCTATCTCCCCAGCCCTGTTTGTTATCTTTGAAAGGTCTAAAAGCTATCATTGGCTTAGGGGAACAGAGAAAGCATGCTGGAGGGAGCCCAGACTTGGAGGCTGGTGTGCTTTGATTGTTATGTTCTGTGTGTGGAAGGAGGCATATAGGTGTGGAGTTAGGGAAGATGGGTGGTATGAGAACTTTAGGAAAGGAAGCCTGAGTGGGTGAGGATGGCCGATGAGATAGATGTGTGAAGGGAAGGGAGAAAATAGCATCAATTCAAGGCTGAAGTCAGTGTGAGTGAGGGTGATGGAAACAGGGCAGGACCAGGTCACTTCTAGAAAGGGTTAGATGGGGTATGTGCAGAAGGGCCAGCTGTCAGATGATGTGCCCAGCCTATGCCACCATCTGGAATCCAGGGGATAAGATGTGGTTGACTCTTTACTGTGGATTTTGGTTAGGACTTCTTATAAATCTGGTCCAGCCCACTCTGTCACAGTAGAGCAAAGAAAGCTGAGGTTCTGAGATGGATGTGTCAGTCGGGCCTGAAAAGTGAGTGGAAGGTCAGAGGAAAGCTTTTAGAGAGGAGAGGATACAGTTCCTCAGGTGGGAAGAAGAGAAAAACTCGTGACTGACAGAGAAAAGAGGGAGTCCATCAGGATGTTTCCAAGCCAGCTTGACTTGGAGGAATATTTCCCACTCACAGTGATCAGCATCTTTGGTGTTGGCGTGCTAGGAAGGACCTGCATCTCTCCCCTCTACCACCAGGCTTGCTGGACTGCAGGGCTCAGCAGCTGTCCAAGATGCTCCCTTCCTTGGCTGCAGCAAGGGTCCGCATCAGGACTGTAATGGTGGCAAGCATGGGAGCTTGCACAGTGTGCAGGAGAGAGGGGAACGGCACCCCCTCTCCCATGGCCTTGCCTTCTGTACTCACTAGGCACGGTTTGAAAACTGTCCTGCTGCCACATGGAGCCCTGGTCAGAAGCACCCAGACCCAGCTTTGAGTGTGGCTTTGAAAGAAGGGCTCTTGTTTTGTTGTGCCCCTCACTTACCTTGCAGTCTTTCATCTTTATTTCAGCTAATGCCCTGCCAGATAGCCAGGCTCATCCCAGTGCCCTTGATGCATCCTGACTGGGCCTGCTTTTCCTGAAGCTCATCAGGCTTCTAGCTTCTCTTTTCCTTCCTCTGCTTTTCCCTCATTACTTGTAGGAAAATTAGAGGAAACCCTAGGGCTCCCAGGCTTACGAAAATAGAAGGGCATGCAGTGCGTGTGCTCTGAGTTGTGCCCTGAAGTTGTGACTGGCTACCAGCTCTTTCTTCCGCAGGGAGGTTTGAATATGGGAAGCTACCTTCCATCCCTGCTCCTGCTCCCCCACTTTAATGAAGCACTCAGACACAGAGCAGGGTTTAATGTTCATATACATTACTTGATTTGGTCCTCTCAGTGGCCTTCTTGGGCAGTTATATTCTCCCTTTTCCAAATGGTGAAATCAAGGTTCAGAGCATTTGAGTAAATTCTCTCAGTGACACAGTGAGGAAGTCGCAAAGCTGAGACAATGCCTGAGGGCTCCTGCAGCCAAGACCAGCCAGCACTTACTTAGCATAGCCCAGCTGGTCTTTCAGAAGACATCTTACTGACAAGGGTAGAGAGAGAGAAATCAGGTTGGGGTGAGGGACTCTATGGAAGAGGGCTCCTTAGTGGGTGGCCTTGACCCCTAGGCCTAGAGAGCACTTGGGCCTTCAGGAAGCTCCAGGGAGCAGCAGAATTAAAAGCAAACCCTTCTGTGTGCATAGAACTTGTCATTTTTCAGCAGATAGTTTTCTCTGGCCAGATGTGCCTCTCCCCTATCTGGGTTCTTGTGGCCAGAAGGCTGTCACTGAGTAAGGGCACTTGAGACTGGGCTCCCCTGCCCCAGGTCCTCAGCCTGCAATCAAAACACAAACAACTGATACTGAAGAGGCTGCTGGAGGTGTCTGGCTTGCAGTGGCATGGACACCAGCAGGATGGAAAGACTAGGACTGCAGAAGGCTTCAGGGGGCGAGGCTGACCTTCTCATTTTGCTACAGGATGAAACTGGTGCTGAGAGAGGGTGCTTGCTATGCTTAAGACCACTAGTGAGTCAGCAGCAGATATTTTGTGCATGTTTGGGGAGTCTTACAGGTTGTAAAGTTAATCAGGAGAAAGAAATTCCCATTGACAGAGCATTACCTGGGTGCTCTGCCCAGTACCTTCATTTCCATGGGCATTGCCTCCCTTACCCTGTGCCAGAGGAGAATGTGGAGATGTTCCCCCTCTGCCATCACTTTTCCTTTGTACAGGTGAGACTGGCTTTTGAGGACAAAGGCATAAAGAGGTTCATCTGGATCATTGCCCTGGTCTTGGCCTCTCTGGGTTACCTGCTTGTACTGGTGACCTCCATCTTTCCTTTCTGGGTACGTCTGGTAAATGAGGAGTCCCATGAAGTGTTTTTCAGTGGCCTGTTTGAGGACTGTTTCCATATGAAATGCTTGCAGCCTCAAGCCTTTTCCGGTAAGGAGGGATGGGAACGAGGATGGGGGAAGGAGAGATGGGGCCAGTGTGGTTGACTGGGCAGGCTGTGGGCAGAGGAGAAAATTTAATGGGTCCATGAGGATGTCTTCTCTGAGTCACAATTCTGTTGGGGTAAGAGGACAGTGGGATGCTGGGAAGGGGCTAGTAATGTCACTTTGACCACTGGAATAGAGACAAACATGCCAGGAGCAAAGCTTATTTCTAGGTGTGGAGTGCTGTAGGTGGACTAACAGAGGGGTTTCTGCTCTGCTCCTGAGGGCTGCCACGGGTTTGCTCACGCAGCACTCTCATGGGTGGGCACAGATTCTGGCCAGGGGGAGGAGCCTGGTTAGCAGCTTATAAGGCTGAATTTTGGCCTCTTCTGCCCTGCAGACAGTGTGCTCAGGCCTGGGAACCATATTTGAGAGGGAATGGACACAGCTGTATGACTTTAGAAGGCTGTGAAGGCTTTAAAGATAATGGTTTATTATTATTATTATTATTTTTTAAATTCTATGTATTTATGTGTGTGTGTGTGTGTGTGTGTGTGTGTGTGTGTGTGTGTGGCCAGCTCAGCCCACCACGGGGCGGGGCTGGCTGGTATGTGGTGCTGGGGGATTGAACCGTGGTCCCTGTGCTTTGCTAAGCTTGTTCTAAATAGGTGCTTTAGACCACTGAGCCATCTCACCAGCCCCGGTTTATTATTATTATTATTATTATTATTTAGAAAAAGTCTTGCTGGAAGTTCAGATTGTCCTTGGACTATGTAGTCCAGGCTGGCCTCAAGCTCATGGCAATCCTCCTGCCTCAGCCTCCCATGTGCTGAGATAACAGGCATGTGCCACCAAGCCCAGCCTCTCAAGATCATGTATACACATTTTTTTTTTTTTGTGATAGGGATTGAACTCAGGGCCTTTTATATGCAAAACAGGCATACCACACTGATTTATATATCTAGGCCCGACAAGGGACTTTTGAGGGCCATAAGGATATCTATCTAGTTAAAGATATGACTCAGGGAGACTCAGGGTTACCTCTTAGAAGTAGGAAAAGGCAAGTCTGGACATAGTGGCGCATGCCTGTAATCCCAGCACTGGGGAGGCTGAAAATAGGAGGATCACTATGAGTCTGAGCTGCATGGTGAGACCCTGTACCAAATACCTAAATAAAAAATAAAAGGAAAAGAAATAGGAAAAGGTACTTGAAGAAGATGGCTCTGATCTTGTGAGCTTTTTGACCCAGGTTTTCTCAAACTTGGCACTGCTGACATTTTTGGCTAAAATCTTTTTATGTGGAGGCTTTCTTATATCTTTCAGGATAGGTAATACTATCCCTGCCCTCTTCTACCCCTTAGATGCTGTTAACATCACCCACTTTTCTCCAGTTCGGAAAGCCAGAATATCTCTAGCCATTATTAAATACTTGAGGGGCAAAGACTGTCCCTAGGTGAGCACTACCAATTTAACCCAATGGGAGGCTCTGGAAGGTCTGGGACTTCAGCAAGACCAGCCTTTTGTACCACTTCCAGATGTGTATTTCTCGCAAAGTAGTTTTAATGTGGTCTGAATCATGCTGACAGCAGAATAAATCACCCTATTCCCAGGCTCTGGCTCTAGTAGTTTTGATGCTCCACTTACCCTATTAACCAAAAAAATTAAGTAGGAGTAAGAGGGGGTTCTTGTAAAATTCAGAATGTTTTGATCCTATGGAGCTCTGCTTTTCCATGAGTGAATCACTTTACAAAATCAGCACAGTTGTGAGTCTTCACATTTGCACATGTGATAAATTTTATTAGGAGAGTTTTGATTTTGTGGTGTTTATTAAAGTCATCATTTTCCCTAAATATACAAGATATGTTCTCCCCCCCCCCGTGATTTGATAGAACCAGATGCATGCAGTGAAGTTTATTAGACCTGATGATTTCAGTGCCTAACATTGTCAATCAAGTTAGTTTTTCATTACTTTCTATGTTAATGGAAACAAAAATGGTGAAGCCAGAGCATTTTTCAAGACAATGTAGCAGGTTCCCAGCATTGGTTCCAAGGCCATCCTTTGGGACCCAAGTGTCTAGAGACTCCAAGGCCATCTGTGCCAGGCTATGGTTCTTCCCTTGAGGGGCAGGGTCCACAGCTCCAGCCCCAGCTCTCTCTCAATCTCTCTCCCCTGCAGCTTACATCTTCCTCGGCCGGATCTTCCTACTCTCTGCAGTCGTCTTGGCCTTGCTTACCACCTTCTTCATGGTGTCGTTTGCATCCAACTTCTTCTGGGGGATCCAGAGGCCCAGTGTCATGTCAGGCTTCATCAGCTTTCTCACAGGTGTGGAGTGGGGCAAAGGAAGTGAGCATTTGTTTTCTGTGGTGTCAATAGAAGCATCATTTATTTTTCCATCACGGGTGGGTCAAATACCTCTTGCATGCTAATCAAGTGCTCTATCACTGGGCTACATTCCCAGCCCTTCTCATTTTGGGACAAGATTTTGCTAAATTGCCTAGGCTGGCATTGAACTTGTGATTCTCCTGCCTTAACCTTCTCAGTAGTTGGGATTATGAACACATGCTATCATGTGTGGCAAGAAGTATGATTTTTAGGTTCCCCTTTTTTGCCTTCTTTATGAAGTAATCTACTGCCATACCTATTATCTTAAAATTTATGATGCCTCTTTTTTTGTGTGTGGCTGGCTCAGCCCACCCTGGGGGCAGAGCTGGCATGGCATGTGGTGCCGGGGATCGACCCATGATCCCTGTGCACTTCTCTAGGCAGGTGCTTTAGATCACTGAGCTATCTCGCCAGCCCATATCATGCCTCTTTTGGGGGGCTTCTTAACATTCTACATTTCCAGATCTGACTTTGTTTGCTTGGAGTCATATATCTAAGTTGTCACTTCTTTTTTCCAGTGACTGTCATAAAATCATGCAAAGAACTATAATTAAAATATATAATACAAATGAAGTAAATCTTCCTTCCTTTCTTTCCTTCCTTCCTTCCGTCCTTCCTTCCTTCCTTCCTCCCTTCCTTCCTTCCTTCTTTCCCTCCTTATTTCTCTCCCTCCCTCCCTCCTTCCCTTCTTATCTCCTTCCTTCCTTCCTTCCTTCCTTCCTTCCTTCCTTCCTTCCTTCCT